GCTCTTCCAGACCACGCTCTTCCAGACCACGCTCTTCCAGACTACGCTCTTCCAGACCACGCTCTTCCAGACCACGCTCTTCTAGACCACGCTCTTCCAGACTACGCTCTTCCAGACCACGCTCTTCCAGACCACGCTCTTCCAGACCACGCTCTTCCAGACCACGCTCTTCCAGACCACGCTCTTCCAGACAACGTTCTTCCAGACTACGCTCTTCCAGACCACGCTCTTCCAGACTATGCTCTTCCAGACTACGCTCTTGCAGACTACGCTCTTCCAGACCACGCTCTTCCAGACCACGCTCTTCCAGACCACGCTCTTCCAGACCATGCTCTTCCAGACTACGCTCTTCCAGACCACGCTCTTCCAGACCACGCTTTTCTAGACCACGCTCTTGCAGACTACGCTCTTCCAGACCAAGCTCTTCCAGACAACGTTCTTGCAGACTACGCTCTTCCAGACCACGCTCTTTCAGACTACGCTCTTCCAGACCACGCTCCTCCAGACCACGCTCTTCCAGACCACGCTCTTCCAGACTACGCTCTTCCAGACCACGCTCCTCCAGACCACGCTCTTCCAGACCACGCTCTTCCAGACCACGCTTTTAAAGACCACGCTCTTCCAGACCACCCCTCTTCCAACCACCTTTTCCAACCACGCTCTTCCAGACTACGCTCTTCCAGACCACGCTCTTCCAGAACCACTCTCTTCTAGACCACCTCTTCCAGACTACGCTTTTCCAAACCACGCCTTCCAGACTAACGTCTCTTCCAGACCACGCTCTTCCAGACTACACCTCTCCCTGACCACACTCTTTCAGACTACGCTCTTCCAGACTACGCTCTTCCAGACCACGCTCTTCCAGACCACGCTCTTCCAACCACGTTTTTCCAGACCACGCTCTTCCAGACTACGCTTTTCCCAGACCAACGCTTTTCCAGACCACGCTCTTCCAGACCACGCTCCTCCAGACCACGCTCTTCCAACCACCTCTTCCAGACCACGCTCTTCCAGACCACGCTCTTCCAGCCACGTTTCTTCCAGACAAACGCTCTTCCAGACCACGCCCTCCAGACCACGCTCTTCCAGACCCGCTCTTCCATCCACGCTCTTCCATACCACGTTCTTCCAGACCACGCTCTTCCAGACCACGCTCTTCCAGACCACGCTCTTCCAGACTACGCTCTTCCAGACTACGCCATCCAGAATACCCCTCTTCCAGACCACGCTCTTCAGCCCCAACGCTCTTCCAGACCACGCTCTTCCAGACCACGCTCTTCCAGGCCACGCTCTTCCAGACCACGCTCTTCCAGACCACGCTCTTCCAGACCACGCTCTTCCATACCACGTTCTTCCAGCCACGCTCTTCCAGACCACGCTCTTCCATACCACGTTCTTCCAGACCACGCTCTTCCAGACCACGCTCTTCCAGACCACGCTCTTCCAGACTACGCTCTTCCAGACCACGCTCTTCCAGACCACGCTCTTCCAGACTACGCTCTTCCAGACAAACGCTCATCCAGAATACGCTCTTCCAGACCACGCTTTTTTCCAACCACGCTCTTCCAGACCCCCGCTCTTCCAACCCCAAGCTCTTCCAGGCCACGCTCTTCCAGACTACGCTCTTCCAGACCACGCTCCTCCAGACCACGCTCTTCCAGACCACGCTCTTCCAGACCACGCTCTTCCAGACTACGCTCTTCCAGACTACGCTCTTCCAGACTACGCTCATCCAGAATACGCTCTTCCTGACCACGCTCCTCCAGACCACGCTCTTCCAGACCACGCTCTTCCAGACCACGTTCCCCCAGACCACGCTCTTTCAAACCACGCTTTTCTAGATTACGCTCCTCCAGACCACGCTCTTCCAGATCACGCTCTTCCAGACCACGCTCCTCCCGACCACACTCTTCCAGACCACGTTCCTCCAGACCACGCTAGTTCAGACCACGCTCTTCCAGACCACGCTCTTCCAGACTACGCTCTTCCAGACTACGCTCATCCAGAATACGCTCTTCCAGACCACGCTCTTCCAGACCACGCTCCTCCAGACCACGCTCTTCCAGAGCACGCTCTTCCAGACCACGCTCTTCCAGACCACGCTCTTCCAGGCCACGCTCTTCCAGACTACGCTCTTCCAGACCACGCTCCTCCAGACCACGCTCTTCCAGACCACGCTCTTCCAGACCACGCTCTTCCATACCACGTTCTTCCAGACCACGCTCTTCCAGACCACGCTCTTCCAGACCACGCTCTTCCAGACTACGCTCTTCCAGACTAACGCCATCCGAATACGCTCTTCCAGACCACGCTCCTCCAGACCACGCTCTTCCAGACCACGCTCTTCCAGACCACGTTCCCCCAGACCACGCTCTTTCAAACCACGCTTTTCTAGATTACGCTCCTCCAGACCACGCTCTTCCAGATCACGCTCTTCCAGACCACGCTCCTTCCGACCACACTCTTCCAGACCACGTTCCTCCAGACCACGCTCCTTCAGACCTCGCTCTTCCAGTCCACGCTCTTCCAGACCACGCTTTTCCAGACCACGCTCCTCCAGACCACGCTCCTCCAGACAACGCTCCTCCAGACCACGCTCTTCCAGACCACGCTCTTCCATACCATTCTCTTCCAGACCACACTCTTCAGACCACGCTCCTCTAGACCACGTTTCTCCAGACCACAGTCTTCCACCCCACTGTCTCGCAGACCATGGTCTTCCAGGTCACGGTCTCCCAGACTACGGTCTTCCAGATCATGAGACCCTCTGAGACAGCCCACCCTACCATAACTCATGACAAGTAAACCCTCTCCCCGGTCAGCACCGGAGCAACACCTTCCTCAGAGTGTCTCCAGGAACCAGCGAGGAGTAGCGCCGTTGAGACGGGGAAAATAAACACTCCAGACAATGTCAGAGAAAATAACTGGTCTCTTATTTATTGCGAGGACATTATTTTTCCGGACGTCACTTCCACATTACCTCGAGCAAGATGATCGGTGCTTCTTTTGTTATATCTGGACAGGTGGACTGAGTGAGTCCGTACACACTCTGCCATGCAACTTGCCTATGCTTCCATGTGTTACCTTCAGACTGCTACTAGTACTATTACTACTACTGATACTACTACTACTGCTACTACTACTACTACTACTACTGCTACTACTACTACTACTACTACTACTATTACAATTATTATTATTATTATTATTATTATTATTATTATTATTGGCTACTAGTGTAGATCTGGTTATCCACGAGGGATTAAAACTGGCTTCTTCAATGAGAATGTTGTTAGTCATCATGTGAGGCCAAGTGCCTTCAGTGACAACATAAAATCAGTATTTATCATAGAGTGTCGCCAGATAACTCTAGTGCCATTATAATGGCATTCAGTTCTGTTTGCAGTGTAGACGCCCAGGTGTTGATTCTTCTGACTGACTCAACATGGCTGCTTTACTTATTATCTAGGGAGGTATTTTATGGATAAGGTGGGTTCTCAGGGATGGTGGTGGGTTCTGAATGATGGTAATGAATTCTGAAGACTGGTAGTGGATTCTGAAGCATAGTGGTGGATTCTGAAGGATGGTGATGGGTTCTGAATGATGACAATGGATTCTGAAGAATGGAGGGGAGTTCTGAATGATGGTAATGGATTCTGAAGAATGGTGGTGGGTTCTGAATGATGGTAATGGAATCTGAAGAATAGTGGTGGATTCTGAAAGATGGTGGTGGGTTCTGAATGATTGTAATGGATTCTGAAGATTGGTAGTGGGTTCTAAAGGACGATGGTGGGTTTAGAAGTATGGTGGCGGGTCCTGAAGGACGATGGTAGACTCTGAAGGAGGATGAGGTGGGTTCAGAAGGATGGTGGTGGGTTCTGAAGTGATTCGTGAGGGATGAGGTGGGTTCTGAAGGATGGTGGTGGGTTCTAAAAGATGGTGGTGATTTCAAATAGATGAGATGGGTTCTGAAGGATGGTGGTGGGTTCTGAAGGATGTTGGTGGGTTCTGAAGGATGGTGGTGAGTTCTGAGAGTGATCACTGAAAGGTTTTCTCGAAGAAACAACTTCTAAAGGAGGTAGGGCTCTTAATTCAAGGAACTGGAGCTATTCTGACCTTTGTTATATAAAGTGGGTTTATCGCTTTCCCTTGAATGTAACATATGAAAACAGAAAATTAGAGATGGATGCTGGGGATGAGAGATGGATGCTGGGGATGAGAGATGAAAGCTGTAGATGATAAATGGCTGCGCGGGATGAAAGACGGTTGTTGGGATGAAAGATGGATACAGGGGATGAGAGATGAATGCTGGGAATGAGAAATATATGCTGGGGATGAGAGATGGATGCTGGGGATGACAGACGGATGTTTGGTATGAGAGATGGATGCGGGGGTGAGAGATGGATGCCTGGGATGAGATATGGATGCTGCGGATGAGATATAGATGATGGGGATGAGAGATCGATGTTAGAAATGAGATAGATGTTGGAATGACTTTTGCAAATATACAGAGGCATAAATCCTGTTCTGTCAAGTGCTCACATATGGATGGTATTGCCTAGAGGCGTGAAATGGATGAGTAGGAAAAGATCAGTCTTGATATCTTTAATGAAAGGAAAAGGAGATGGAGTCAGTAATTTTGGGTGTGTAGAGTGGGTTTGGATACCACCTGATTTGGTGACCTTTACCCACACAAAAATCTTCCCAGTGGACTGAACATTAACCTCATTTAAACGTAAGTGTAATGAGCACTGACCAAGGTCACGATCAAGCCCTCTTAGTCAGATTGTTGAAGAGAACCTCGGTGTGAGACCGAAACATTCATTAATCAACCTCTGGGTGTTCTTCTCTTCAGGCAGAATCGTTTCTGACAACGGTAACTAGCTTCTGTTACCACCACCTAGCTGTTATAAAGAACAGCGGACTTTCATTTAGCAAGTCTCTCATCATATAACACAGTTATTTATTCATGTATCTTACAGTTACTCAAAGTTACTTACTTGTTAACTCCGTCGAAGTCAGCTCCTATACCAACGTGCTGGACACCGGCCACCTTCCTCACGTGGTTGATGTGATCTGCCAGGGGAAGACACAAGGTCATGTTGCATCACATGGGAAGGCAGTCAGCGGGATGTGATGCTGATATGAGCGAGATGAATATGTGATTACAAATTGTGGTTAATATTCCACGGAAAGAGGTGGGGGGGGTTTGAACCCACGGCGAGTGAGTCGTAAAACTCCAGGCCAGTGCCCCACCCGTTCCGTGGTTTGTTTGCGATAGTGTTTTACGATTTCGTGAGTCATGTGGTTAATAGGATGATAATTCTCTCTCTCTCTCTCTCTCTCTCTCTCTCTCTCTCTCTCTCTCTCTCTCTCTCTCTCTCTCTCTCTCTCTCTCTCTCTCTCTCTCTCTCTCTCTCTTCTCTCTTCTCTCTCTCTCTCTCTCTCTCTCCTCTCTCTCTCTCTCTCTCTCTCTCTCTCTCTCTCTCTCTCTCTCTCTCTCTCTCTCTCTCTCTCTCTTTACACAGGGTTTGACAATGTTAGGTTAAGGATCCCTAGCTTTATTGACAAGCTAATTACAAGTTAAGGATTCCTGACTTTATTGGCAAGCTAAGAGCTGTTACCTACATCAGCTCATTTGAAAGCATTTTTATTGTTATGAGACATACAAGTAGGGAACAGGATGAAGTTGGAGCCATCTGTGGTCCAGCATTTTTATTTGATCAACTAACTTTACCTCGTTACATCATTATGCTGTACGAATGTGTTCCATACTCGAGTCATCCTGGGTATATATGATCTCAGATTCAGTGATGTTCTGGAGAAGGGCACAGCCAGTGTGAACCTACTGCTTTCTGCCCGTCTTGTGGCATAAAAGCTTGTTTCACGCTGTCCTCGAAGTGGATCCAAGTGTGGTACTTCGACAATATTGGCCTTATGCATAACAGTAAGGCCACCCACATCCCTCCTGTATTGAAGTCTCTGCTGAAATGGCAGATCTATCCAGGATGGGGCCCAGGCGAGAGATGAGACGTCTTGCTCTGTTCTCTACTCTATTAAGCAGTCGCAGATGAGAGGGGGGGGCAGGCAAACCAAGAAAGTGGAGCATACTCAAGGTGTGAGCGTACTTGTGCCTCGTACAGAATCTTGCAACCCCTACTGTCAAGCAGATGCGAGATACGGAGAAGTGCTGTAAGCTTCCTGGCTGCCTTGTTTGCAAGATTTACAACATGGTTCTTCATGGTTAGTTTGGAGTCAAATTTCACCCCAAGGATATCAACTTCTTCTCCAGGTGCCAACACCCTCCCATTCATCCTTACTACTGCACCAGCATTACCATCATGGTGCCTAGAGACGATCATCATTTGCGTTTTCTCAGGTGCAAATGTTACTTGCCATCTATTTCCCCAAGCTGATATAGCTCTTAGCTGGTGATTGATGTAGCTTAGAGCAGCTGGCATTTCTTCTCTTGGATAAGTGAATGTCAGAGTACAGTCGTCTGCATATGCATGGGATTCTGGGATGAGATGAAGAAGGTCGTTGAAGTAGACATTCCATAACAATGGTCCCAGCACGCTTCCTTGTGGAACACTTGCCCCAATAGGATGTCTTGCTGTTTCCGTTCCATTGAGAACTACCCTTAGAGATCTACCATGAAGGTAATCACTGAGGAGACATAGCGTATAGCCTGCAATTCCCAGTGCTTGAAGTTTTACTAAGAGGCCCTGGTGCCACACACGGTCGTAAGCACCAGCAATGTCCAGTACTACCACACAGCTGACTTTGGATTCATCCAGTGACTGGTGCCACTTAGTGGAGAGGTTTAACAACAGATGAGCAGCAGAGTAACCTTTCCTGAAGCCATATTGACGGTCACAAAGTAGTGAGTGGAAGTCAAAAAACTCTGTCATTTGTCTTGAGATTATTGTCTCAAGGATCTTACCAGTGATTGATAGGAGTGACACTGGTCTGTAGTTGCTGATTTCTGCTCTGCTCTCTCTCTCTCTCTCTCTCTCTCTCTCTCTCTCTCTCTCTCTCTCTCTCTCTCTCTCTCTCTCTCTCTCTCTCTCTCTCTCTCTCTCTCTCTCTCTCTTTCATCTAGACACCGACAGTCATTTCTTAAAATGGACAGATGTTAAATGAATTATTAAAAATCGAGTCAAAAGAGAGAAGATAATATTTACAATTTGCAAGCAGATCTAACACCATTAAACAGTCCCAGGAAACCTTCATGTTAGGTAACCCTATAGTTTACATTACACTTCAAGTTATTCAGGCGTCCGAGAATCAAGATACTGTATCAGTGCACGCACCCAAGCCCCGGGATACTGCCATGATCCTCACCTCCCTTTGCTTCTACCTGAGAGATACATGCCATGATCCTCACCTCCCTTTGCTTCTACCTGAGAGATACTCCCATGATCCTCACCTCCCTTTGCTTCTACCTGAGAGATACTCCCATGATCCTCACCTCCCTTTGCTTCTACCTGAGAGATACTCCCATGATCCTCACCTCCCTTTGTTTCTACATGAGAGTTACTCCCATGTTCCTCACCTCCCTTTGCTTCTACCTGAGAGATACTCCCATGATCCTCACCTCCCTTTGTTTCTACCTAAGATATACTCCCATGATCCTCACCTCCCTTTGTTTCTACCTGAGAGATACTCCCATGATCCTCACCTCCCTTTGTTTCTACCTAAGATATACTCCCATGATCCTCACCTCCCTTTGTTTCTACCTGAGAGATACTCCCATGATCCTCACCTCCCTTTGTTTCTATTTAAGATATAATCCCACGCTCCTCATCTTCCTTGGTCCCCTTAAGGAAGGTTCCTTGACGTTGATAAAGGACTCTTAATCTAGGGAATTGGATCTGTGCTCCGGTTCCCTGAATTGAGCCTGAATGCCTTCCATCCACCCCCCCCCCCACATGCGCTGTATAATCCTACGGGTTTAGCGCTCCCCCATAATCATAATAATTATAATCACCTTCCTTCGTTTCTACCTGTGAGATAAAGTCCTCTTTCTCATATATTCTCTACTGACTTACCAAAGCTCACTGTGTGGGCGAAATGCTTTTCAATTACTGCAGCGTGTCATTATTTACATTCCATTCCAGTTCCATGCTGGGAAACTGTTGAAGTGTCTTGTACATATCTATCACAGCTCTTAGGTTCAATTGCTCTTGCGATTAAATTCACTCCATTTCTGGAACTGGTTTGGTTAACTGTTTATTGGTTGCTAAGTTTAATGGCGTCGTGAATTGGTTGTCTAGTATGGAATGAAAATGCTGATTTTTGACTTCAGGGTTTTCCGGTATATATAATTTGTTCGGGCCATAATCTATAATTTTCGCTCCAGTGATTATTAAGAGTCTTAGATCATTACTGTATATACAAGCAGTGTTAAAGTCTGGTTGTTAAGCGTGAAACCCATCGACTGTACGAAGTCATTAAATAGTGCTGCATGTTCCTTCTATACCATCAGGTCAGAGTACTTTAATCTCAAAGATAAACACCTGAAAGTGGATATACTCTGCGGCTCTCGGTTTATAAATATATATGGAAATACACCTCAGAATATATAATGCATTAAAGCTGCGTGGTTTGTTTTGTTGAAAGTCTATCGATGCGCCTGAGTCAAGGTTACATCTCACCTTCACACCAACAGTGGAGAATACATTGAGATGCAAACCTTTCCTTGTATATAACCTTGTTGCATTATACAAAGAGGTGAAATTCATGCATGAATTTAAGGAACTGATAATTTAAAAAAAAATGTTAGTCTCGATATAAATAGCATTTTCACTATTTTTTTTTTTTTTTTTGGGGGGAGGCTCCTTCAAGACAGAGTTCGGCTCCTACAAAGGCTGAGTTGACAGGCTTATGCCCACTTTCTTATTTCTCGTTTTCTATAATAACAATATATGGGAAACTTTCTAAAATCGAAACTCCATAAAACTCTCGGGGTAGCGCCGTTTGTAAGGTGGACGGAAGACATGCAACATCAGCAGAGCAAGGTGGACGGTGGCAACTACCTCCAGCAGTGTTCAGGGTTCAAACTGCACTCACTTTTGTGAAAATGTTTTGGGCTGAAAGTGGGTGTTAGGGAGCTTGGGAACTGGGTGCTACGGATTTTTTGGAGAGTTGCTGCTAAGAATCTTGGGCGAATGGGTGCTGGGAGACTTGATAGACTGTAATTTGGAATCTTTCAGTCACTGGAGCTAGAAAAACAGAAGAAATAAATTTCATTTCATGTGAATATATTTTGCTCTGGTTATTTTATTCGTTTCTCCGTCTCTTGGAGTACCAGAAGATTAGAGATTATTAGGGAAACCTTAATATTTCTTTCTTTATAATTACGCAAGGAAGATTATTCTGATTCAGTGCCATAGCGTTTTGGTTCATTTTTCTCTAATAAAGGTGCTGGAGAAATTTTCACGATATATAAAGGATTTGGGGGGATATATTGAGTGAATAAAATATTTTTAAAATGTTATCAAATAACTAAACTACTCTGGGGGTTTATGCTATAGATAAACTGTTGTAAATGTGATGCACTCTAAGGCCTATCCGGTTACATTTTATTAGATTTTTGCTGTGCGTTAGACCCATGTGGGTCATTCAGCCAGCCTCTCCTCGACGCTTGGGTGACCTCATATACAACACCACCGCCGTACCCATTGACGCAGAGAGAACAAGAAGCTTCTAAATCTGATTTTGTTTCTAGACACAGGACTGTGAAGGCCTTCTCTTCCAAGTATAATGATTTTAATGGCATATACAACAGACAAGTATATGCGACACTATAGAATCATCAAAGCTGAGGGACTGATCACCTATCAAGGCTGAGGGACTGCTCACCTATCGAGGCTGAAGGACTGCTCACCTTCTATCAAGGCTGAGGGACTGATCACCTCCTATCAAGGCTGAAGAACTGATCACCTCCTATCAACGCTGAAGGGCTGATCACCTCCTATCAAGACTGAAGGACTGATCACCTCAAACTACTGATTCACGTCTTCCACCGTCTCAAGTAAAAATAGACTGATAAAGCCACAGGATGGCGAAACGTC